GCGGATTTCTGCCCCTCTGACCGTCCTTGCCTTGCCACCGGAAGATATTATTCTTAAGTTTTCATGGGTACTTACATATATGGTATTCAGCTTTGTTCGGGTATTTTCCCACGTTATTATAGTTGTGCTTTTAAAGTTGTAGCAACGTTTTGGCAGAATCACATCTGCCATCATCAGGCTTCTGTATTGTGTTCGTCAGATGTAACACACACACACATCTCTCTCTCTCTCTCTCTCTCACACACACACACACACACACATCACATATATCTGAATAGAAAACTCATTTGATAGAAATGGCTCTGCCCTCAAAAAACGGTTCGGTTATCTCTTGTTTGCAATCTAGCTAAAAAAGAAAGTTTATCAGGTTTACCAGAAGTGAACATTGCAACATTGACTCATTAGTTATATTTTTGTGAGTGGTCTTTCCTGTCCCTTACTTCTTAGAAGATCTAATGCAAAAGGTAAAGTAAAACCTGAAAGTAAAGCTTTGTAACAACACTCAATATACTTTTTTTTTCATGTGGGGACATCTGATTTGTTTCTGGAACATGATCTGAAGTTCTACTTTTTCCTCATTCCTTCCCAACCCACCACATTTAAAATTTCCTTTACATAGATATATAACATTATATACATTACATACATTCATACATTTATTATTATATAAAATAATAAATAAAATTATTTTCTACTTTGAGGACCTTTGAGGACCTTCAGACATTAATTCAATTATTGCATTCCAACACAGCTGGGATATCAGCTTGAGAAAAGCTGAAAGAATATACCTTTAGGTCATCGGGTCCTTATACAATTTTTGTATTTTATTGTGAGAGAATTTACAGGATATAGACAATATTTACAAATGATGCCCAATGTATTCACCAGTGCATCCAGCTCCTTGACACATCCCCAAAAACTTCTTGCAAGTTCCAGTGCCTTGTGCTGATCCTACTTTCCATAAATGAACATTGGATTCTCAGTTTAACTTTTGCTTCTGATCTGACAGGAGCAAATGGCCTTAGGCAAGAGGTCTACATTACAGGATTATCCTCAACAGAAATAGGCCACAAGCACTTTGAAGGCTCTGAAGCAGTGGTGGCATTCAGCCGGTTCACATCAGTTCGGGTGAACTGGTAGCAAGGATTTGGCATGGGTCGCTGAACTGGTAGTAACTTCTGGCTGCCCACACCCCCAACCCGGTTGGCCGGTTGCCACTTGCTCGCTTGCCACACCCACCCAATGGCCGATGCTCACTCACCCCGTCTTCCCAATGTTCGCCCGCCATCACTCCTTAAGGTATTTCTTTTTTTTTTAACCTCCTGACAATCAGTGGGATTCCCTTTGCTTCTTTCTGCTTCACCCAGGAGGCTTCCCTGAGGCCCAGGAAGGCAAAAAATGGAGGGAGGGGGCACAGCACCCCCTCCATTTTTTGCCTTTCTAGGCCCCAGGGAAGCTTCCTGGGAGCAAAAACACCCCCCCAGAGGCTCCTCTGAGGCCAGGAAACCCCCAAAATGGAGCATGGAGGGGTGCTGGGTGCTGGGTCCTATGCTCTGTTTTTTTTTCCTTCCTGAGCCCCAGGGGAACCTTCTGGAAGCAAAAATGCACCCCCCCCAAAGGCTCGCCTGAGGTCAGGAAGGCCCCAAAAAATGGGGTGAGGGGTGGTGCTGCAAAAAAGCCATGCCCACCCAATCACATGGCCATGCCCACTTGGCCACACCCACAGAACCGGTAATACATTTTTTTGAATCCCACCACTGCTCTGAAGTCTTATAAAATGCTGAGGTTATGGAGCAATTTATGTATCACCTGCCTTTTGGGATTTAGTTAACCCTCTTCTTCCTTCTTAATTTTAAAAAAATCATTTAGGTGAAGGAAAACTTCAATAATGCTAAACACAAGGCATAATTTCCTCAATATTTTCCATTTTGAATAGCACTTTTGTTACAGAGTGGATATATAATAAATCTTTTGATTAATTATGTCAATGATGTATGGCAATGAAGTAAATTACCCCAAGAGATGCTGTTTGTGACTTCTGTGTAGTGAATTCTATATCCCAAAAGGAAACCCAAGCAATCTTTTGTAGGTATCTCAGTCCATTTCACAACAGCTGAATGTTTCGCCATAACTGGAATTGTTACATGAGCTGGACCTATCCTGGGAACTTAAAAAGAACATCCAAATCAATTTTCCATTTTCCAAAATTATTTTGATCAATTGTATACATTCTTGTGCTGTTAGATTTTGCAAAGTAAGAAAGAAAAATTCTTGGTTATAGCTCCTATCTACCACATCAGTATACTCCAGGAATCCTGAATTTATTCTTAAATCAATTGCACTGCAACCCTCACCATCAAGAGTCAGCACACATTGGAAATAATGGAATTGTGGTCTGGCACTTCTGAAGCCTATTGAGTCACAGAAATGAATTTCAATTACTCATAATAGAATAAACATTGACATATTCCTTATAGACAGCCATATCAATTGGACTAGACTCTATATTGTTTGTGTGTGTGAATCAATCTGATAGTTCAATCTATCATTAATTCACAGAAGACAGTCATAAAATTAACATCTATTGATCTTCACAACTGTAAGAAAAATATTTATTTGCCCTTCTCTCCCACCTTCTGAATTTCATAAACTGCTTAAGATATTGTTTTCTCATGCCCTGAGCTAGAATGTGGATGATGGCAAACCCTTTGGTTGATTATTGTCTGCTTGACTTTTGGGGTTTTGATTTCTGGTTACCTGGTCCCCCCCACCCCGATCTATTTTGTTTTCTTTATTTTTTAGCTGTAAGGCACCCAATGTTATTATGGAATTGTCATCCCTGAAATTGGAAAGTTAAATAAAAATAAAGAAATAAAAATACGAAAGGTCTAACTTTAGCATTTCAGTATCTCAATATTGGTGATGTAAAAAAATTCCATCATCAAATTCTCATCAGCATAGGGCAATGATAGCAAATTAGAAACACAAGTCTATCGTAAAAGTACCCACACTGATCAAGTGCTCCATTACCAAAGTAATAACCCAACCTCCTACAAGAGTAGCTGTGCAAGAACGCTATTTAGACAGGCACAAACACATTGGAGCAACCCTGAACATCAGAAAAAGGAAACAGATAATCTGCACAGCATCTTTCAACAAAATGGATACTCATGCAACTTCATTAAAAAATGCCTGACCACTCAACCCAATATAGCACAAGCGGTGAAAACCAAAATATCCAGCAATGCCAGTAGAAAAAACAGGAGTCAGCTACAACATATAATGTAAGCACTGTAACAGCCATTACATAGGACAAACTGGGAGAAGATTGGCAGACTGTATTAATGAACACCAACAAGCAGCCAGAAGACATGACGAAAACTCCATAGCACATGGACAGATTTAACCATAATTTCAATTGGGAAACTGTGACTATCCTAGACCAAGCAAAGTCCCAAAATGCTAGACAATTCCTGGAATCCTGGCACTGAAACAAATCAACCATCACATAGAGATAAACAACATCTATATATCATTGAAAAGAAACAATCATAAAGCCAAAAAGGAAAAAAAGACCAAAATTATTCCTCACCACAATCAATATCCAGATAAACAAAGATTTAACACCAAGATTAGTCCTAGATCAAGAATCAAGAAGTGAACAATACCACAATCAAGGAACTATTAACTCAGACAAACAAACAGTAAACAATAGCCTAATGAAGCAACCACCAAGATCACTCCCATAAATACTGACACGGCAATCTAGTATATAAAATGAGAACAAAGCCCACTAGCTTTTAGCACTGATGATGTTATCTAGTTTGGTAATAACCACCTGCAAGAAAACCATCAAGCTCAGAAAGCAATAAAGATCTTATAACATTATCAAAGCTATACATTTTTGGGGGAACAAATTTGAGTTTTCTATTCTCACTGACTTCTATATGACATAAATGTTAATGTTAAAAAGGTGTCTTAACTTTTGGTATTCTTCAATCAAACATTTGTAAAAGTCATGTCTGAAGAAAGCTGAAAACTATATACAGACAAGTTTAAAATTGGGAAATATATATTAAAAAAAAAGCTCCACATCCAGGGAAATATAGATGTCAAAGAAAATAAATCTGCATTGGAGCTTAGAGTAATCCAAAGAATAAAATTTGAAAATGCAGAAGGAGGATTATAGAAGGTGTGCAAAGGAACTGCTGTCTTCCTGAATCTGCTGACAGAAGCAATTCTGCTAGGAGGAACTGCTGCACTAGATTTCATTCCCTATTTGCATTGCAGTATTTCATGGCAGAAACTGGAAAGCAGATAGAATTTATGTGTATGCTGATGTTCTAGATTAGTGCAGAGAAAGAATTAATGTGCTTGATAAAGCAGCCAAGGGAACCTCCCCCTCTCCCTAGTCATTCAATTTCTGCTATTTATTACAATTATTTTCTATTTTAGTATTTATTTATATTCTTTTATCACACTGACTTATAATATAAATGCATACAACAGCATTAAAGAATGAAGAAAATCGCAAGACACAGCAATAGAAATTAAAAATGGAAAAAGGAAAAGGAACACTTGGAAACTATATTATAAATATCTTAAGCCATGCTCCTCTTATATAATCAAACACCCCAAACCATAACACTATAATTAGAAGATTGGAATAGAATTCACTAAAAGTGACAAACAGTAAACAAAGCAAGAAAGTGCTGTAAAAATACCTCCTTCCACCGCATAGAAGTTGGCCACCGCCAATGTCTGTTCATCTTTTATTAAGTCCTTGCTTTGACAGTCCAATGCATGCAGCATTACTTTATATAACTGATAAGGTTGGAGGTGATCTAGGTAACAGAAATGTCATCACTTGGAAATACACAATTAAGAAAAAAATATGATTTAAGAAAAAAGAACTGGTTATCAGTGAAAAACAGATGAGACACAATAAAGTGGATAAACAAATCTGCTAATCTGCATCAGAAGTAAAGACAGTAAAAGTGATAATGTATTAATTCAAATAATAGAAATAGCTTGAAGGAGCTACTAAGAAGTAGCTTTGCTGCACCAAAGGAACTGGGTTCAATTGGGCTAAAGCAGAAAACAATTGACAAAAAGAAAGACTGGCAACCCAATACAGAGATTGTGTAGGAGCAGTTGCTGAAATGCTGAGTTTGTTGCTAGGATCGGATTAGTTATATCAAGAGACTTGAAGGACTTTGTGGATGTAATTTCAGGGGGCTTTTCTACGATCATGGAAGATGGGCATAGCATCAAGGAATTGGAGGGCAAAGATTGTTCCTATCTTCAAAAAAAAGGGGGGGGGAAGGCCCTGGATAATTAAGGAGTAAACTAATTTGATTGATACTATGCAAAATTCTGGAACATATTAATAAGCAGTCTGTGAATATTTTAATAATAATGCCTTGCCTGGCAGAAGACTGTACTGATTTAAGAATAAATGTTGCCAAATCTGTCTGACCTTCTTTTTTGAGAATAACCACTTTAGTTAACCAGAGGATTGTAATGGACATAGAGTGCTTGAATTCAACAAAGAATCTCACAAAGTCTCATGAAATTCCATGAGAGAAAGTGATTTTATCATGTTTACAGGATTTTATTCCTTTTGTTTCTCATTAAAAATCTCTCAGTTCTCCTTTTGGATATCATGCCTTTGGCATCATTGCTATGGCTAAAAATAATGCAGTTTTCTTAATATATTCACTTAGCATTATTCCAAAGTCTCGCTGTGCAAGTCTCACTGAAAGAGAAAGTGCACAGAAGTTCCACAAGGGGGAATCATGATATCTTGCTTCTGTACTCAACTTCTGCTGTATTTGAAATATTCTGCTTTAAATTTGCATTTGCTGTTAAACAATTAAGATTATGCTAACTGCCCTGTTTTCTTGTTAGTTGACAAAATTTACAGTCCAATAAATACTTCAGTCCAGTAAAGCAAAGACCAGGCTTTTTAGATTACAATAGACATTTGATATCAATTGGCTTAACTATATCTAATTCTATGTTAGATTGTGGTTGAAATCTACATTTATACCAGAACGCAGAGCAATTCTAACATTCAGTGATTTTTTGATGCAGTTGGACATATTTCCATTTCAGTCATTATTGTTGCTCTTTTTGCATGCATATATAAAACTGTGCAAGCCCAAACTCATTTTTAATTTGGTTTCTTAACATATTATAAAGTTGACATTACCAAGTATTACATTTGTTTCATTTTGACAGAAACATTTAGATTTCGTGTCTTCTATTCCAGTGCCCCAATCAATAGCAAGGCAATCAGGGTTATCTTTTAGATTCCAGGTTATAATGGTATAATTTTGCTGATTTGAAATAATGAGATGACCAGGTAAATCTGTAAGAATAAGTAGAAATGTTAAGAGAATATTCTTCAAAGAAAACTCACTGTTAACCTCTCACATGGGAAAAATCTATATTTTTTTTCTGCAGAATAAGCTGAAAAGAGGGATACAAATGGAATAAAATACATAATATTCCATTTTATGGTTTGAGCATCAATGCTACAGTCTCTAAACTCTAAGCACATTGAATTCTATGTTCTATTATTCCATGAATCCCAGAGATAATAAAACAGAAAAACCTGAGGCAATACAGCATTTTTAAAACATGATTTTCCATAGTTTGTTATCTGAAACTTAAAATACAAATGGAAAGTTTTTCATGATGTTTTCTTAAGAAGCTATTTTACCTGAATATGTTGATATGAAATCTGGAACCCTGTATATCACTGAAGACGACTTTCCATGTTCATTATAGGCAGTGATTTTAATATGGTAAGCTGCCATTGAGACATTTAGACGCAGCCAAGTTTTCTTTATGTTGAGAGATGTTATTCCATGGAAGGAGTCAAGTATTCTCTTAATATGTACGAAATATCCAATGGTATGCTTGCTTTCATCAGTCTAGGGCAGATAAATACCAGCACTGAACAATTAAGCACAATAGTAATATCATACATAGTTAAATTTGTAAATAATGCAAAAGTAATCCAAATAAATTATGTAATTTAGTTTTCATTGACAAATATAATTAACCATGACTTCATTAGATGTTTTTCAATGTCAATTTTTATTGGCTATATTATCTGACTGCCGTATAATTCAGTATTTCTATGCCTTTATAGAATAAGACTTAATTAACCAGTTTCTTGGATAGGAAACAAATGATGTGAATGTGGGCTTCCTCTCATCTTTTAGCCTTAAACCTTCTAAAACAGGGGTGTCAAATTTGATTTCCTTGAGGGTCACATCCGGGTTCTGTTTAATCTGGGGTGGGGTGGGGTGGAGTGGGCATCGACAGCTTGATGTCATTCATGTTGGGGGTACCTATGGTGGCCTGAGTGCCCTGCCAGCGAAAATGGGCTCCCGAACTCTGTTTTTGGCCACAACTGCCTCCTGCAACCCTCTGCCAGTGAAAACGGGGCCTGGGAAGGTGCACGTGGCCCTCCTTAGCTTTATTTTTGCTGGCAGAGGCACCGCGGGCTAGTTCTTCACTGTTTCTAGGGCGGCCCTTGGACAAGATCTAAGCACTGCATGGGCCAGATCCAGCCCCAGGGCCTTGAATTTGACAGCCCTGTTCTAAAACATAGTTTTCTAATTCAGATGTCAGGTGAGCTATGATTATGCAAACCAAGAATGATTGATCTAAGGTCATAATTTCTTGAACAAAGAGAAAACATTCATGTGTGTTTTCTTAAGCTATCTGGGGTGAGAGGACAAGTCAAAGGTAATAAACAATTATGAAAATGACAATATACCTCCCATGTAAGAAAGACACTTCTTTTCCCTGGTGAGATCTCTTTAGTTATATTTTCCAAAATTGTAGGATTTTTGGTAAGCTCTGTGAAAGGACAATAGTATGTCAAGTCTCATTTCAGAACTGTATGCACACTCTTTCATAAAGTAAGAAGTAAAACTTTGAAATTTATCAATACAAGTAATGCTGTCTCATCAATTACCCAACATGACACTCACTGTATGGGATACCAATTTCTTCTGTCCAAAGGCAAACAGAACAGGAGTTATTCTTGGGTATGCATCTGAGGCGAACCATGTAGGATGATGCTGGGTTTACATCCGGGATAGTAACATTAAAAGCTTTCATCTCCATGGAGACCTGCAAAGAATTTGAGATAAGAGCATCTTCGTCACAAACATATTGTTTTCTTGGAAATGGTTTGCCATTAGCTTCTTCATACAGCCTTCTCTGCAAGGATGCTACTCTGTAAGGATGCATTGTTTTGTCTTTATCCTATTTCTTTTAAACATTTTAATACAGAATGCTTTTATTATTATAACTTCACATTATTGAGTTTTGTGTCTTAACTAGGTGCATTTTAAAATTACAAACATTGTTTCAAGGTTCTCTCAGCAGAGGAAGCAATATAGAAACAGAGAAAAAATAAACAAATTAAATTCCCCCCAAATGATCCCATTAAATTCAATGGACTTATTCTTAGGTAAACAAATATAAAACTTTGTCCTTATAGCATAATCTGGTGCAATTTAGTAATAAGGTACTCTGTTATATGGGCTAATAATTGTTTATAGAAGTGTCCATTTAGGCTGTAGTCCTTAGTCAGCATCCCAAGGCCTTAGAACAGGAAGTCAGATACAAGCATCCCCTTTGCTATGGATACAAAAATCTCACTCAGCGTATTGCTCTGTTGTCAAATTATTGATGCTGTTGTTAGCAGCAAAAGTTGGCAGATCTGATTCAGAATGAGAGAAAATAGCTCTTTACTTAGGTATCCCTAATCAGATATCAAACAGCCTCCTTTGAAATATGAGGTGTAGAAACTCTTTTAACAAGCTAGAGAAAGAAGCAAAGAACTGTAGAATTAAAATTCAGTGAACTGGCTTTCGCCGAAACTCCCATAAAAAGAACACATGGAGGATATCTAGATATTTTTTGACAATGAGAACATTTTCTTCTGTCTCATATCTACTGAAAATACACACCGGTATCCAGGATGAGGTTCTTTGCATTAAGTCCTTGTATTGCAATTCATACTGTAATATATTTTGTGGTGACTCCCATGTTATTATTAGCTTATTGAATAATTGTTGTGTGTTTACGTTGACTGGTGAAGGGCATTTTTCTAGAATATAAGAAATGCAAAAATCATTGATTTGTACAAGCTCCAAAACACCTTCTCTAGTCAAAGGAAATATTCTAAAAGGTGGGTAGTAAGGTATTATTAAGCAGGTAGGAATATCCAACTCTCTTTGATCTTAAAAAAAAACTAAAGAAGGCTGAAAGCACTTAGTGACTTTGATGGGAGACCACCAGAAAGTGTAGGCTAGGTTGAGAAGTTAACCCTCCCTCCCCAACATTCTAGAAGAAGTCAGCAAAAAACCACTTCCATATTGTTCTCAAGAAAACTACATAGATGTATCTACGAAATCACCAGGATAAAGGATCATTAAAAGAAGGCTTCCTTTTTAATTATGAAGATCAGGGGTGCCAAACTTGTGGCATCACATTGTTGTCATGTGATGTGTTGCGACTCTTTCCCTGTGGGCGTGGCCAATGTGTGATACATCTGGCCTGTGGGCAGCGAGTTTGATACCCCTGATGAAGATGATGGAGGAAAGAGGCCTTCCCAGTGATAGAAGCAAGTTCATTATGATGCCTTGCAGCATATAATTTCAAATTGGCATTAAAACATTTAGTACATATAAGAGATAAATAAGTATTCATTCATCGACATCAACTATTTTTTTCAAGTAATAGTTATATATATATGTGTGTGTGTGTGTGTGTGTGTGTGTGTGTGTTCGTAGATTTTCACGGGTACAGGTATGCAGGTCTTGGCGTGTTCTTTTCCCGTTTAAGATTGAGGGTATCTTGGTGATGTTTCAATGAGGTCCCACTCGCCATCTTCAGGCTGGTGCTTTCGGCTTCGTGCTTGTGCGAGCAAAGTGTGATCTGAGCTTCCGTCTCTCTATAAATACTGGTGGGGAGGTTGGTTGTGTTGTCATTTCTTGATTGGTTGATGGAGTTGATGTTTGCAGATTGGCTGGCTTTTTCATAAGAACATGTGTGGCTGAGGTATTGGCTGTGTGTCTATCAGCCTCCTGTGTTGTAACGACCTGGGTAATGGGCTGTGTGATGACCTTCTGAGTTCTATTGTTTTGACATCCTGGGTCTTGTGCTGTAATCTCCTGGGTTGTAATGACTTGGGTCATGGGCTGTGTGATGACCTTCTGAGTTCTATTGTTGTGACATCCTGGGTCTTGTGCTGTAATCTCCTGGGTCGTTGGTTGTGTTGTAACATCCTGAGGCTACACCACAAAACCTCATATATTGCTGTTATTTGATATATTTTTATTCTCCTTTTCCAAATAGACTAAAAGGTGGCATGATGGGTATTTCCTCCTCTAATTTGAAGGAGGCTGAGGTGAACAATTGCTCTGGAGATTAGGACACCAACTCAATTTCCATAGCTGATGGCAGACATGAATTTGGTCCTTTGCAATTATAGTTCAGATCTTTAACTTCTACCCCTCACTGGCTTATTACATTATGATGCAATCATATTCTTTCCAGCCACATGGCATTTTAGTGCCTGGTTAAATATATAACTAGGAAATGACTATTTCAATGATAATTAAAGATTTAAAAATGAGTAAACAGTGAGTAAACGTGCCTAACCTATTTCTCTAGGCATGATTGAAATGTTCTTTGTTGTCACACAGCTTTCATGTGAATAATTAGCTGTTATCCATATAGTCACATGTAAACCTGTATGCATGTATGCCCGGGTTCTATTGATAGGAGATGAAACATTTTCTAACTTCTCACAACAGTTGTGATTCCTGTAGGTAAAGAGAAAACAAGATGAAAACAGATTGGCCATTACTGCACATGTTACACCTTCTCCATGTAGATAGTTTCAGCAACTTTTCCCTCTCCCTAAATCCCATTTTGGTGGCATGTTGCCTAGATATTGAAGTTTCAACTTAGTAGTATTTTGGACTTCAAACATCAGGAGTCCTTGAAGTTTATTTCATTTGTTCATAGAATTGCTTTATGATTTTACATTTTTTTGGTTTATGTAGAATTGCAACATAAGAGTTGCTTAATTTATTTATTAAATTTATATGTTGCCTATCTTACTATCTGGGCAGCTTACAATATAATAAAATAATATAAACAGATTAAAATCAACAAGAATTTGATGAAAACTATGAACCAAGAGCATGAGTGATATGGAGATGAAACCTTCTCTGTCACTCCACTAACCTTCTCCAGCACCCCCATCAGGGCCTTAGATTATACTCTAAGAATTTCTGGACAGAAGCTTTCTTAACTTTATTTTTTACCAACCAATCTAAAATCCTTTGCCCTCTGGAATGCAGCCCTACCTTTCTGGGAATCCAGGCTACATTCCACCACAAATTACTTGAAATGACATTGGTATCCTTTGTGCCTAATCTTGTCACTTCACCATATAGGAGAAGCAGTAATGGAGAGAGTTGTCTGCAGGGCTTTAAATGGAAATTAGATAGATTTGTCTGTCTTAGCAAGAAGCACAGGAAAATCTATTTTATGTAATAAGCCAGAAGGACAAACTCTCTGATGAAAAATTGTATTAAAACCCTTCAGCTGTGGCAAAGAACTGAATAAACAACTGAGTGTGGTAGCTAAATAAGGAAAGGCTGAAGACTGACTAATTGTTTTAAGGTCAGATATGATTCTGCATGATCCAAATCAGATCTTCCCTAGGGACTTTGACAAGGGAGAGAGAAACCATTTGCTTTGTTTTGATCTACTCTGTCAGTTTACCCACTTTTAAAAGTATTTCCTTTTTAAAAAATTGGTTTTGTTGTAATTTCATTTTGGGTGGTTATTCTAAACCCCACAGAGTCATTGAGAGTTGGGCAACATACAAATTTGATAAATCGATAAATAATAAAGTCATGCAACTATGATTATCCACATCTTGTAGAATATCAACTCAACTTGTCTTTTCTAATGGCCAATTACTTCAAGAAACAACACACAACAAATTAACTGAAAGATTTATTGAGCACTATTTAAATATTCAGAAATACTTCATTTGCGATTTCCTATACCAGTTCTTTAAGGAGGGTCTGAAATGAAAAATGAACAAGGAATAGTTAAAAATAACAAAGTACTTAGTTTGGAGAACAGAAGATCATATGGAGAGATGATACTTCAAATATCCAAAGGACTCTAATGTAAGAAGATGTGAGCCAAACAATAAGGTTTTAATTCTGCCATTTTTGATCTAGACAATCAGATCTCTGCTTCATCTCTAAAGTGTAGTATTTCCTTTCTCCCATTCATGCTTTTATCCGCATTAATTCAGTGACTCTAGAAGACTATACATCAGGGGAATGAGTTTCTTTCTCTACCATTTCTCTCGCTGAGCAGAAATAAATTCTGAAAGGGGAAGAAAGTGCTTCTTGTTTTCTCTTTCTTCTTGACTTCAGATCCATAATTTATCATTACCGAGAGTAATTTAACAGTTAACAGTTAGGCAGTAAAAAAATAATGAAATAATCCTTAACCTGAGAAAGAACCAAATTCATATATGTAGCATATTTCTACATTGTTCTTACAGGATTTCATCGACAAAAATCAGAATTTTAAACTGTGAACTTCATTCTCTTTCCCTGTATAATTAGAACTATCTGCCTATGCCATCTTCAGTGAGTGACTTGCCAAGGCTGGCATACTGAACATTTATATGAATTACTTAGATAGATTGTGTACATTTGGGGATATGTTAGTCCTTTGATGTAGTCCAGACAAGAAGCACAATGATGAATACTATACTAGCTTTATCTTTATTTTAAGGTTATATTTTTTATTCATTAAATTTTGTGCTGCCTATGTCGGGCTTCAAAGAGTCAACCAGTTTATCTCCTGAAGTGAATCCCAACACATTATATTGATTGGGGAATGAAAGTCCGATCCTGCCATTTACAATATATCAACTTGATCGGAAAACGTCTCTCACTTTTGAAGATCTCATCCCCGTTCGAATTATCTCGTATCAGCACGAACATGCGACAAGGATGGGGTGGGAGAAGGTTTATCACTCCAACTCCTCTCATTACCCGAAACAAAACACAAACAATCATTGGGGAAGTTACGGCACAACCTAGGAATTGAAACGACATTCTGTTTGGTAATTAGTTGTGTAGAACCATTGTATACATTGCCATTAATGAAGGACTTACTAGCCACACTAGCCAAAGGACATATATTCACAAAACTAGACTTAAGAGAAGCCTATTATAGAGTAAGAATTCGAGAAGGGGATGAATGGAAAACCATGTTTAATTGCCCTCTTGGTAGTTACTACTATAACGTTATGCCATTTGGATTGCAAGGAGCTCCAGCAGTATTCATGCAATTGATAAATGAAGTGTTACATGAACATTTGTATAAAGGTGTTTTAGTTTATTTGGGTGATATTTTAATTTATTCTAATTCTAAGCAAGAACATATTAAATTAGTCAGACAGGTGCTTAAAAATTATTGGATGCCCAACTTTATGTAAAATTATCGAAATGTGAATTTCACACTAAACAATTAGATTATTTGGGGTATCGTATTTCAGAATGAGGAGTGGAAATGGACCCCAAAAAAGTGGAAGCGGTATTAAAATGGCAAGCTCCAAAAACCAGGAAACAACTGCAAAGTTTCTTGGAATTTGCAAACTTTTACAGACAATTTATTCCATGTTTTGCTGATGTTGCTATACCACTAACAGATTTATTATGAACTAAATCCATTGGTATTGAAAATCCAAAACCAAGTGCTATGCTAAAGTGGACTGACCAATGTCAAACAGCGTTTGATAACCTAAAAAATCTGTTCGCAAAAGAGCCAGTATTGAAACACCCAGATACAACGCTACCATGTATCATTCAAACGGATGCCAGTGATGAAGCGGTAGGAGCTGTTTTATTGCAAAGAAATAAAGAAGGTAATTTACAACCATGTGCGTAAACATCTAGGAAATTTAGTCCAGCTGAACGAAATTGGGCGATTTGGGAGAAGGAAGCCTTTGCGGTCCACTGGTCATTACTGAACTGGAGACATTTACTAGAAGGAAGTTCACAACCATTTGAGGTGTGGACCGATCATAAAAATTTAGAAGCACTCCAAAATCCATGAAGGTTGTCGCCAAAGCAAGTTCGCTGGGCAATCTTTTTTGAAAGGTTTAACTTCACGCTAAAATACGTCCCATCAGGGAAAAAATTTATGGCGGATGCTTTGTCAAGGCTTCCTCAGTATAATAATGTACGAGATAATACAATCCAACCATTGATACCAACTACTAATAGAATAGAATATTTACGATCCACAATACTTATAACCGACTTACCTACAATATTAGCAGAAGATGAATGGTTAATAAATAATAAAAATCAAATAGAAATGAAAGATGGGATCGCTTGGTGGGGAACTAAAATATGTACTGAACACATTAAGATCAATAGTATTAAAAATGTCATGATGTTAAACAGGCAGGACATTATGGGTTCCTAAAAATGTTACATTTAGCAAAATGACAGTTTTGGTGGCCAGGCATGAGATCACATATAGAGAATTATGTGAAATCCTGTCCTGTATGTATAATAAATAAAAATAAAATTGGAAAGCCAGCAGGATTATTACAAACAGTCTCTGAACCAATGAAACCTTGGCAAGACATTGGAATGGACTTTGTAGTTGATCTACCGGATAGCCATGGCTACACAGTGATATGGACGGTTATTGATCTGTTCTCCAAACAAGCACATTTTGTCCCATGAAAAGGAATACCATCTGCTAAAAAGTTAGCAGAATTATTTATAAAAGATATATATCGCTTACATGGGGTACCTCGAAAAATAATGTCTGATAGGGGAGTACAGTTCACCTCAAAATTCTGGCGGGAGTTTATTCATTTGATTGGTTCAACACAAGGACTAAGTACAGCATATCACCCAGCTACCAATGGAGCGGTTGAAAGAGCAAACGCCACCATCGAACAATATCTTCGTTGTTACGTTAACTATCAACAAAGTGATTGGGCAGATCTGATACCGTATGCTGAAATAGCATATAACAATATGGTACATAGCAGTACTGCTCATTCCCCTTTCCAAATAGTAAGTGGTATGGAATTTGTACCCATACCCGAATGGCCCTATAATGAACAAGAACTCAATATAGAGACTACAAATACCCAGGCAGATAAAATACGTAAGCAATGGAACTCAGTTCGTCTCGCTTTGAAAAAAGTGCAGGAAATGTATAAAGTCCAAGTGTGGCTATTCTGTCTCAGTATTTTTCCATAAGACAAATCCTGCTCAGCACGTATACCTCTCAGAGCAAAGTTCACTAAGCTGACAGGAAAAGAACTGACAGGAAGAAGCTGAAGTTGATAAGATTAACTTCACAAAAGTCTGTCGGATAAAAGATGTGTATTCGGTATCAGTCACGAAGTATCATCACAGAAGCTTGTGTCAGATAAAAGATGTATATTCAGGAAAAAACATGTTTATCAGTAACAGTCAAAAAGTTCGTTACTTGTATCACGTAGCCTGGTCTCAAAGATAAAGTTTGTAACTTCTTTGTCTTTCTGTAATCCCTCTCACCCCCCCTCTTTGATTCAGTACAATAAAAGGGGACAGCGCAGAGCAATCAAAGCAGCCTGAACAATCCATCTGTCTCAGGCTCAGCCGGGACAATTCCATCTGCCCCAGGCGATGCGCTGCCTCACCTAAA